ACATTCCTTATAGAGAAAATAAGAATCTTACTGGAACAGCTAGATATGCTAGTATTAATACCCATTTGGGAGTTGGTAGGTTACATTGGGAGCCATACGCATCCTTGGCATATGCCAGCGTTTAGCTATTCTTTATTTACTATTCTGTTTTTCTTCAACGTATTAAAACAATTATCGCTTGTTTTCTTTACGCTCTAACCAAAAGAACAATCTCGCCGTGATGATCTCGAATCGCTCGGCTACGTTATGATGTACTTCTGTCGGGGCTCACTTCCGTGGCAGGGACTCAGAGCAGCCACTAAGAAACAAAAATATGATCGCATCATGGAGAAGAAAATGACGACACCTACAGAACTTCTGTGCCGCGGATTCCCGAACGAATTCGCTATTTACCTGAATTATACTCGGTCACTCCGCTTTGACGATAAACCTGATTATAGTTATCTGAGGAAACTTTTCAGGGATTTGTTTGTGCGAGAGGGATATCAGTATGACTATGTATTTGATTGGACGATCTTTAAATACGTGAGTGGTTTGTGGAGAAAGAATATGGAAGAGGCAAGTACATTTTTTCGAGTTCCATTGACACCGTTATCCGTACTTTGTTTTTGTTAGGAAAAAGATGGCAAAGGCAACCAAATACCCGATGCTGACCCTAACGAGCACGCTGAAGAAGACGGCAAGAAACGTGTCACATCCGCTCGGCAACCGTCAGGTCAGCTAGTCAATGATCCCGCTTCATCATCTACACTTCGTCGTTCAGCAAAACAACCTATCCAATCTGCCCCAATTGCTGCCGGTCGTCCATCTGGAATGTCTGCTACAGCTGCAGGTGCATCTCGAATGGCGCCGGGTACAAGGAGAAAGACATCAACTCAAGAGGCTGTAATGGAGCAACAGAGAGTTCTTGGAGGAGAGAGAGGGTAAGTAGGATATTGATGAGGGGTTGAAAAAGAGGACGGGTAAAAGAAGAGAAAGAGAGAGGAGGTGGTAGTGGGTAAATTTTGGTTCAGGGTATCGTAATCTCTGGTATGATGATCTGATAATTGTGTCGTATTACGTAGGCTTCGTAACGTAGCAAAGAACCAGCCGCCGAATTACATGAATACTTTTCGAGTTAGAAAAGAAGATCCAGCCGGAAACAGTGGGCAATGGTATTGAAACAACTGTAATATCTAAATATTTCTCACCCCTACCAACCAGCTAATACACCACCACACAAGCCACCAATAACATTCTATGCTATGGACAATTCTGTTCGCCGCTTTTCTTTATTCTTTTGTAATGTGATATCAGTTATCCGTGATGTCATACGGACCAAATAAAAACTTCAAATAAATTTCTGGGTTGTTGTTTCTATCCAAGAGTTCCATTGAAGTTGAAATATTTGAGCGAGATATTCCTGGCGTCCCGATCCATCTCCACCTCGCACGATCATTAAATGCGGCGGCCAAGTCAGCATCGCACGAGCTGCCTTCGATCGAATCTTTCGCTTGTTCTTCAAAACCATCCTCATGAAGATTCGAACTTGGGTAAAAGAACGATCTCGTAATTCTGACATAACCAATGGGCCAGTTAATGATGGCACTCATTGATCAAATTATGGATTGGTTGTATATCGTATCATCTTTTTCTCTGTAATTTATCGTATTTCTTGGATTTTATCAAAGATCATCGTTACCCCACTCAATTAATTGACCGTCGAGATCGTAACCGTGCGAACACCTGGATCACCTTTCCCCAAACATATCTTGGTTATCAATGATATCACAGTCTGAGGCGATAATGTTCCTTAGAAACGCGTATTTCCCTTTGTTTCCTATTCCAATTCCTCTCAACGATCGGAATGGCTTCATTCGAAAAATTTCCATGTTAAATAGCATTATTCCTATTACTATAGCCTTACCACTTAAAGTTCAGTTATTCACGTTGGAGTATATAATACAGTAAGTTCCATGGAATCATGAGACATTGTGATAAATAATTGATAATATGTTTTTTTAACTTTTAGCAGATAGAAAAGTAGATAGAACTCAAGTAATTATTAATTACAGTGTGTTACAAAATTATCCGGAATCAAAGACAATCATGTTGTACCACAACCAGCGATTCGAAAATTATGAAA